AGAAGAATGTAACTTAATTGTACTGTTGAGTATACATCAGCGACAAAGAAAACTTTTCTGTGTCTGTTTCACCGATCTATCCATATAAAAAAAAGTACCCATTGCTGTCTCTATATAGGATATATAATAAAAAAAATTAGGAGACGCCACGCAATAGTATCGAAAACAATCATTTTTGGAATTCTTTTTTGTTTGTCTGTGCGTTTGTGCACGCTAATCTCAGAAATAGCTCATCTGATCTAGATGTAGTTTTCAGTAATATATTATAGTCAGCTATATTAAACATTTAGTTTTTGGTCAATGTCAATCGGTTTATAAATAAAAAAAGATATACTAATTTAAAGAATGACGTCGAACTTGCTGGGCGTTTGTAGGTAGGTATGAAAACTGCGCCCGCGCCGCTTGCGCTGCCTCCCTCTTATTGCGGAAGCGCACGGCACCTAAGTAACTGAAACTAATTAATTTATATTTAAAGTTTTGAATAAATATGATTTGTATTGTTATAAGTATGTAAATCTGAAAGTACGTGCTTATAATTTTCTTTAGTACTTATACGGTAGTTAAATACTAATAATGTTAGTTAGAATAATTGGCAAATACAAAACAAATGAAATATAATGATACAACGATCTAGAGTCAACTCTGCATTGTTTTTGGACCCGGGATTCTTAGTCAAGCCTACTAACCACCAGACTAACTAGATTTTGTTGATCTGATTAGAAAATTAGTAGTTGTAGTATTGTATGTTGATTAGGTGTACATGTCTGCATAACATACACATGTAATTTTAATTGGCGAGAAAAAATACATTAGAATTCAACGTTCGCCGTTCGAATGTATTTAGTTACAAAGCAGTTCGTTTCGATGTTGAATACAATGAATATTTCCATTTTTTGATCAATTGGATTTTCGAGCAAGTACTTGAGCAGTTCACTGTTTACCCATAATTCACACCCAGGACTGTGCTTAACGCAATGCGCCGCAACGCCTTTAAGTGAACCATAAGATTAAAAATTCTATCGGTTTACAAAGTACGAAATTTTAATTAACTGTTTCTTCCCTAGATGGCGTTAAAACTAAGTAGATCACGCAATCAAAGTATTGTCCACTTTACATAAGTATTAACTGAAACTAATATTACTTTGACTTGACTACTCCGAATCACTCCTTCCCTTTCAAGAGGTGGTACGAGAATACTCTAAGTCCACCTGCGTTAAAACTGTCATTCAAGCGATAAAAGCTTTGTACTTAAAGTACGTAATTTTTGAAAAGCCTTGAAAATAGGCTTATAAACTATTAATAAGGTTGGTTTAAACCGATAAATACTTTCTACGTGAGGTAACTAATACAGTTGTTTTTTTAAACACACGTGGTCACATATGCTCTTTTTAAAGTCCATATTTATAACACAAAGACGAAATATTTGTATGTTTGTAATGAATAAACTCTAAAACTACGGAGCCGATTAAAAAAATCTTTCTACCTTAGAAAGCTTTACCCTGAGAAGGTAATACAGGCTATAATTATAGCCAGAAAAGATTAGGAATTTAAAAATCGAAAATAAATTAAAAATATTTTCGACTCGGGCTGGACTTAAACCGGCATCGTCAGTTTTCCGTGCTATTACTCTCAATTTTTCTAATTAATTTATGATTTTTAAATATATAGTGCCTTCATGTGCAATAACATATAAAAATATTAAAGTTTTCATGATTAGGAATCCTTACAAGAACTTTTGAACGTAATCCAAAGTGTTAAAAAAATTGCTACTGAAAGTCTTTCGGCGCACGCGCTGCGTAATGTGTTGCTTAAAGAACAAAACATGTACCACGATTTTGCAGAACATATGTCAAACCTTTTTTTACGATAGAGGAGGACAGACAAGTATGGGGTTCAATTGATAATGGTAGGTTATATACCCTAGCCGTCGATATAGCATCTAAACAAGATGCGATGTCGACCTTTCCGTCTACTTGTCGATTTTGGCTTTATATATTCGGCAATCCATAGACTGAAGCCGAAACGCGATTGAACATCACGGCTTTTCATCTGTGGACGGTGGTTTGTGACCCGAACGGTCTTTTTATATTCATATCACTCATTTTATAGCCAGATTTCCAGATGAAATTAAAAAACTCACGACGCGTTGATTATTAGCCATACACTGCTACTATTACACCAACGAGCCCGTCAAAAACTTTTATAGTTATGCCACAATAAGTGTTTTTCGTTGTAAAAAAATAAATTCAAATGCAACCGGTATAAACGCTGTTTTATTTATAATTAGGTATTAATCCTTATCAATATAACTAACTTCGTATTAAAAACTACTTCAAAAACATCATATAACTTTTTGATATAGGTATCCAATTTGAACAGCTAATTCGAAATATAAGAATCACCAATTATAAATGTAAGGGTATTTATAAAACGCTGTATGGTCGCGGCCTACACCGCATCGCTGCGCTGAAACAGCACCGTAAAAGGAAAGCGATGTAGGCGTCAACTGCGGGGTGGGGGATAGCAACTGTTTAAACTTGGGGAAGAAATGTTCCACTCAAAATTTAAGAAATAATTGAAACATCCTTCTGAACGAGTCTCTAAGCCAAATATACCTTTACATCTATACATATAATAAAACGTAACCGATCGTATCTGTGTATTATAAAGCTAAAGAATTTATTCGTTTGAACACGCTAATATCTGGAATTACTAGTTCGAATTTAATTTTTTTTTTGTTGGTTAAAGCATTAATCGAGGAAGGCTTTAGGCTATGGTAAACAGTGGAAAATGGAACAATCTGGGAAAATTATTAATTTTTGGGGGCTACCGATCTTGGGATCGGTGGCCCCCAAAATTTCAAAAAATGTTCACTTTTTGAGATCATTCAAGATTAACTTGCTGGAATGTCGTTCCAGCAAGTTAATCTTGAATGATCTTAAAAAATACGAATGACATCGTGAGTAAATGGTAGTTTTAAGCAAAAAGAAGCCAATGTTAGAACACAGTTGTGTCGGAGCTAGATATAAGTCCTCGCATGCATATATATATATATATAATATATTTATATCTCGGCAGTTCTCATAGTCGAGAACCACGTCGTCATTGACACGGATTAGAATGGTTCGCGTCTAACCACCTTACTGTGTTCTACCGGGCTCCCAATTTAACTGTCACTGACATATAATATATAGTTAGAATAAAGGAAAAACTTTAATAGCGCGTTTCAGGAGTGATCGTGTATTATTCATATTATAATATTTGATTTATTTAAATATCAATTGTTTGTTTAGATTTTCGGATACTTCATTATTTATGTTTTATGAATTTTATTTTAAAAATTAAAAAGTATTTTTTTTCGTATAACACTGGTATCGAACCATGGCCCTCTTGAATTCTTAGTCAACTATTGCGCGCTCGTTTCCTGTTAATGCGTTTACAAATGCAATACATAATATTAAAATAATTTTAATTGTAATAACGCAATTCAAGACCGCACGAGTGATTATCTCCTTTATTTATTAAAATTAATATCAGATTTTCGTTCGCAACGTACAAACGTAATCCGGTGCTTAAATCATTTTGGAACAATAATTCATAACAATTGACTGATAACCACAGCGTAAATAAAATTAAATTTTAACAGGCGAATATTGTGAACGTCACTTTTTAATTATATTCTCGTTCATATTAATTTGTCGGACGCAATATAAATTCCGTAGAAACGAAACTTTATCCAACTGTAAAAAAATGTATTGTGTGTCCATGTTCTGTTTTTTTTTTAAGATTAGCCTGTATTTTTATTTACTATTTACTAGACTTGGTAATTAATTTATACTTTAAAATTAATCGCTTAATGTTTTGCTTAGCACAACTCTATACCTAAAATTCAATAGGAACTTTTGTCAGGTCTAGGTCATGAATTTAGTGTTAGTAGAGAGGTTTTAGGTACAATTGATGTTATTAGGTAATCTATCGGGGTCTTGTTCATTTCGATATTATTTAAAAGTAAAATGTTTAATAAATCTAAACAACCGAATTATCTGCTGATAAAAGGGCGAAAATTTAGTTAATACATTTTCTGTAATAAATAAAAAAACATGGTTGACACTAGCACTTAGGGATACTAAAAATAGATTGTTGCCGATTCTACGACTACTGAATATCCATATCAAATTTCATTAGAATCAGTCAAGCCGTTTCAGCGGTGTATTCCAACTAACATTGTCATATGATTATTTGACACACTGGATAGATAAAATAGAATATACAGTCCGTAGTTTACGAGAGTGATACACATTTAGAAAGAACTCTTAAAAATGTTTTATTTAGAGAATATTCTTTAGCCATATATACGCCGAACATATATATAAAAGTATGCACCATTATGTTTAATGATGTGCTCTGTGAACCAGTGCGCAAATATCAAATAATAATAATTACTAATTATTTGCTATTTACGTCTGTTAATTGCCTTTGTTTGTTAATATTAAATAAAATTTACTTTGCGTAACGCTATGCTTTTTGATTTTTTGTATTATAGAGGAGTACACTTTATGGTATTGTGGCTTTTGATATTCTTAAATCCACAGACTGAAACGAGGTTAATTCGATGATTTCTGCTTTTATGGACGGTGGTTCATTACCCGCGCGGAATTTCAATATTCTCACCACTCATTTAAAACCCAGATTTTCACACGAATTTAAACATGATGGACCTGGTGAGGAGCGAACCCACGACCCGTTGTTTATTACCAATTCAATGCTACCATTACATAGGTTCTAACGATTCAGTGATGCTAATAATGGTGCGCATATTTATGCAAAATAAACACAACTACCCTCTATTTTTCGTCATAAATTCTAAAATGTAGTTAGTTCGGATGTTAGAGACGGAAAATTGTATAAGTTAATAGAAATAAATTACTATTTACTATACGCTCGTACACATTTATAACACCATAGGAAGAATTATATATGTTTTTTTTTTATATAAGAGAATGGATAGTGGAGTGAAACAGCTAGAAAAATTAGCGTCTAGTAAATACTGTCTGTAGTTTACGCTAGTAGTAACATTTACTTTGTTCGTTCTACGCCCTCGATTTGAAAACTGATGAATGACTACATGAATAAATTGTATTTGACTTTGATTTAAAACGCGATAGCGTCTAGTAGCGAATATTGAATTTTGGCTGCATTACTTAGACTCTAACACATTAGGAATTACTTAAGTCAAAATCGATAAAGCTAACCTTTAAACATTAATGAACTTTGTTTAAATGACATTTTTATAGTACCTTGGTTGAAGCTGGGGTGGACACATAACTTTATACGGCCTATAGATTTCAAGAATGTTATTTGAAGACAAAGAAATTGTCACTTTTTCAGTGTTATAAATATAGTTATATCAGTATAATTATAACATACATTCCCACCGCTGGGACCAATGAGAATTTTACCCCTTAGTTATTTATTCTCCATTATATTTTATTCATACATTGTTTTTCACAATAAAACTTCAATTTTACTAAAATAAAACTTTAATTTTAATTCTATTCAAGGCAGCCAATTTGACATACTACTCGTAGTAGACAATTAAACTCGATAAGTGTCAAGTTAAAGTTAAGTGAAACGAAAGTCTGTAGTGTAGTAACGTACCTTAGACGATACTCTGCGCTTGAGGCTAAGTTAGCGAGTAAGTTCATAGGACTGTCACTTTGAAGGCAAAGTTGAGGTAAGTTGTACACGTTATTGCGACGCTAATTCTGTTCAAATTGTATGCCTGGTGTGAATAAACTGTTATTTTGACGGTGGTAAATATAAATAACATATAATCTACTCGGTTGTCGCGAAATTTAACAAAATGTCTTAAATTCGGCTTCGGACGACGGTTGCAACTTAAACAAATACGGCTTTGATTGATAAATCTCAAAAAATCTACTAAACAACTGTACTCGGAATAGCTGAAGTTTAAAGAAAAATTAACGAAGTCATAAAAAGTATACAGATCGATTCCATTGTAATATGATATTCCAATAATTATGAAATCGTAGGTTCGATTTCTACGTTCAATAAGTTTATATATATATACATTATGATCTTTCTATATTTGTCGCATCAAGCATGCGTAAAATTTGACACATTTAAATAATGATAGATATACAGAAATCCCGCGTCACATCTGTATACACGCAAATGTCATAAAGATAAGATTCGCGTTTCGGTTTGAGTCTAGAGATTTCAAAAAGATCAATAAATGTCTAATGTATTTTTACACCGCCTGATACTTTTTTTCAGGTCTTCTACGTCTTCAGAGCATCTACGAAAATCTGAAGCCAGGGAGTAAGTCTTTTCACGTCACGCATGTCAAGCGGGTCTCCAAGGCCGTGGAAGTTATAGACTTTCTTGCGGAACTAGAGGCATCAGATCGTTGGAGCTACAAGTACATCGTACTGGACTCTTCAACGGAAATCGCCAAAGATACTGTTATCAAGCACGCCAGGAGTTTTAAGCTGGGACGAAGGACTTATCATTATTTGTTGAGCGGTTTTGTAAGTTCAATGAAATTAATAAATTCAAATGAAAACCAATTGTAGCTTAAGGGTTAATATAAATAATTTCTTATTCGTTGTATATTCTTATATGTCTAAAATTACTTTCATAGTTCATACTATTTATAATATCATAGTAAGCAAATTGTGTAGCTTTATTTATTTATGATTTTTTAAGTGACTACATAGTATTAATATGTTTGTCCCGTTTTTTCGTCTTGGGCAGAAAATATTTCTGTGTGCGATTCAACGATGTTTTAGAGGCAAGTTGACGATACTTTCGCGTATTTAAGGACCTCTCATACTTATTGAATTGCGATAATTGATTTTTCCATAGGTGATGGATGACCACTGGAGTGAAAATACGCACGAATTCGAAACTCTCAACATAACTGGTTTCCGAGTTCTTGATTACTCCACCAAGAAAGTCAAGGATTTCCTTGAAATATGGCAGTATGGAAGTCATATATCGGTCAGTATATTTAAAAGTACACATTTCTCAATATGTATTCGAATAAAACCGTGCAAAGTTAGACCTGCAAATCCGTTTCCCATCTAATACAATATAACTTTCTTACTTTGTACGTGCAAACAAATTGTTTAGACATTCTGGAATACGTTTATAAGCTGGTAAATCTAATAAATGCCGATTAGATGACTGTTTCCGCGCCTTAAAGTTTTAAGCTATGAAAATAAATTTTATCACCAGTGGGATAAAACTATTTGATAAGATAATATTTAAAAAAAATTAATAAGATTTGGTGATAAAATGTTTGTGCCTGTAAAAAAAATTATGTTCATCGTAGGATGTTTGCTATTTTTAACTTGCAGGCGATAATTTAAAAATCTATTTAGCTTAAAAAACTTTCACAATACGGGCGGGACTTGATCCGGCATACACAGTGTTCTGTGCAGCTGCTCCATCCAATTTGCCTCGTTAGGGTTATTAACATTTGGTAACTTCAGCAGCATGAAACGATGTGAACGTGATTCAACAACCGCCTGTGTAGTATCTTTTCAAAATCTTAACTGATTTTAATTTATATAATGTCACTATGTGAAAAATAATACATTTTTAAAAAGCATTAACTTACGTTATTAATAGGTTTTTTATACATGTTATATTAGGTTCAATTTTAGAATTATGGCAATAATCAAATAAAAACAGCTAACAATGAAATGTATTTTTAAGGACAACTGATTTTCGAGATTTGAGCTTAGGTATATTTATGAATGTTGACAGACTATACCCAATAATGTTTTCAACGTTTATGTCAATTCTCATCGTGTGCGATTCAGCGTAACCTAATATTCTGATCCGTTGACGGTCTGTAGACGTCGTTTAACAACAGGTATACAAACCAATTAGAACACAAACTAAGTGTGTTTTCAGACATTGCCTATTGACGTGCTCGCGATACAAATTCAAGCGATGACGAACAATGATTATTCTCAAATTATATATTCATAGTGCGAGCTTGGTATTCGTGTTTCAAATGTATAAACGTTGTTAGTAAGTTAGAATTCAATATAACGCTCCTTGGAATCCGATTCCTCTAAACTTTCATAGTTAACTGATACAAGTTGGCAACGCTTTGCTTTTTTGTGCAAGTTATGGAGGGATTTTAAGTTGACCGAGTTAGTATTTTACAGCTGTTCGTTTGTAACCTTTTATAGTAATATGGCTAGACACTGGCCTCTCTCTCTTTGAAGAAACGTTACTGTCCCAAGAACCATTTCGCGCTCCCCCCTCCCCCTGCCATATTTGAGTCATCCAGCTGTGAATCGTTAATCCACTTCGCATAATATAGTAGTTGACTATATTATGCGTTATTATGCTCTAGCCGTTACGTAAAACTCTAAAGTTTACTCTTTTTTCACAGTCAAAAGCGGCAATGATGTTCGACTCAGTGAATCTATTGATAGAAGCAATCCTGCGCATGGGCCGAAAGAAATCCGATTTCCTACGCGCCGCCTACCGTCGCAGCTATTCCAATAGCACGAAGAATACAGACTGCAATATTGAGGAGCGAGGTATAACGCCCTTCGAATTTGGAGAGAAATTGGCAAAGATGATAAGGAAGGTAAGGTTAAAGCGAATGTACATTTTTAATAATTTCTTAATAATTAAACAAATGAGAAATGTTTCCAATTACTCACAAAGGGTACTGCATATCTCTTAATACGAAAACTAGTGAAAACCTATTAGTACTTGTGGTTACAGACCGCTAGTGTTTTTTTCAATTGTCTACAGTAATAAGTCGCATAAATTTTATTTGTTGCTATATATAAAATTAATGAGACTGTTTGGTTACAAGTAAACAGCAAACTTTGAATAAATTGTAGTAAAAATAAAAGAAGACTAATGCTCAAAGTTAACTCTTCTGATGAAAAATTTGCCAGCCTATATTATTATACCATTGTTGGTCCAAACTAGTGCAGTCTACTGCACACTGCGAGGTCCCGGGATCAAACTGTTAGTTTGATATTTGGAATTTTTTCTAAGGCGTTTTTATAGTCCAGTAGGTGGGAAATCTCGTCAACCCCGTGCTTTGGACCACGTTAGCATAGTTATTATTTTCGCGTGACTTTCACAAGAAATAACAAAATAGACATTAACAATCTATATATCATATTAGGTATCAACTTATATAATTTTTTATAATTTCACAAAGACAACGTTTTTGGTACAAGACAGAAAAAAATCATAAGTGTGTACAAATCGCATAGGACACATAATTTACACACATTAAAAATACGAAAAAAGGAAACTGAATGCTTGCGTCTTTGATAATAATAAATCAACGATTGCAATATTATTTCGTTTATATATATTTAGCTTATGTATGTATTGAAAATATTTTTTTTTATAATGTTAAGCCTAGTATTTAAAATCTTAGTTAATCATAAAGGATTGCAATAAAAAATACACGTAGTTAAATGTTTTAATTGTCAGTAGCTTTAAAAGTACCAACGAAACCATCTTGTTAATATTTCAATTGTTTTTTTTCTATTATGAATACCCTTATAATGAAAATTTACTAGTTTTTAAAACAAATGAAAGAAAACATGTTTCTTCAATTTTGTGTTATAATAACAATATATACAAATACCAATATGAATAAAATGTATTTTTCTTCTATTAGAGACATTTTTATATATATATATATATATATATATATATATATATATATTATCATTTGTACATATCATATTATATATATATATATATATATATATATATATATAATATGATATGTACAAAAAAACATAATGATTTTTATCATATTGCTGGTAGGCAGAAATGTTTGGCCAATAAACTGGTCGTGAGATCAAATGCCACTAAGTTCAACATGAAGTTAATTTATAATCTTGTAGAACGAAAAATTAGACGTTGTCAGGGAAATTGGTGATATATATACCTACCTATAGATAGAAAAGTTGTGAAGTGTAATGTGTCGGTTTCAATCAGGTGATTTCCGAACGTCCCCATCCAAATTAGGTCGACAGTGCACTTGTTTAGATGTGGGGTATTACACCTTCCATCAAGTGAACCATCAAGTTCGTATGTCCTCCTCTGAAATAAAGACAAAGAGTCAATATCCAAAAAGACTAAATCGTCACACAGTCTTAAATTTAAAATGTTATATGCTTTCGCAAAGCAAACCTCATGATCTATGCTCTATCATAAAAATAACGTTTTATATAGCGTTTGGAAGAAGATTTTTGCCAAGAACAAATCCTATTTAAATTTAGCTTATAAAATTTTATCATATTCTAATGTTATAACGCTTTAGAGAAAACTTGTAAAGCAAACAGCTTTCTCAGCGTAAAAATCTCATCCCTGCGGAATTACTTCCGAGAGTATTATAAAAGTTCAATTCCTTTAACAAATTTAGATATTGTAACGGCTTAGGTTTTAAGTTGCCAGATGGATAAAGACATAAGATGATTTTGAGCAACTCATATATACAATTTATTAAATTTAAGCTTATATTTTTATAAGAGTGTGTCGAAGCGAGATAAAGGAAATAATAAAAGCGTTGGGTAAAAGTAAAAAATGACAGCAGGTTGTTAATTTAGTTTGATCTAAAATCCCATAGCTGTTATAAGATTGATAGTGGGAACCCATCACATACTGGGATGATGGTCTCAACTGAGATTAAATGCTCTTCGAAGCACGTAGTTTCTTTGGAGTGCTAACACCTCTTCTAGAATTCCAGGGTACTGGAAAAACACTGAAATCCTTGGACTATGATTTAGGTCTATTTTGATCACTAGGCTAACACGCTGAAGTTATTTTAGATTTATTTTCGATTTTTAAATTATATAGTGCCTTCATGTGCAAAAAATAATAAAGTTTTCAAACATGATAAAGAATTTTAACTCAGCTGATATACAAGAGAGAAGATTATACAATTGTAATATAGTAATAATAAATTTTTAGGTCATTTTAAAGTTTTCAAATAATAATTATGATGGTTGAAATACAAAAATGATAACACATAAGCCCTGGAAACGCTTAAGTTATTGTTGTTTAAAAACATTCTGCACTCAGCGTTGTCAAAAGAAGTTAGCACCTCACACGAAGGAAACTGCGACTTTACAATAATCTAGCCATGTATGTCACATGAAGCCTTCACGACTTTTGCCCTACTTTTCGCTGCACACAATAGAAGCCGGCGGTAGGCTAAAAGTATTATGACAGAAAATATAACCTTTATTCCCTTTAAAAATCATAAATATTTAATTTTCATAACATAGGAGAATAGTTAAAATGGGAATTTTGATCGACTTTCGCCTTTATGGCAAATTTGATACATACTGGTTACATTTCTTTACCACCTCTCCACCGTTTTTACCCTTTTATTACCAAGACCTATTTTTAAAAGGTCGTTCTTTGTTATTTTTATATTTAAATCTCTCATTGTTAACAGCACTCTGTCACTTATATAGCACATCTTAAACTAGAAATTCTCAAAAATAATTTACATGCCAAAGCGACGTTTGTCGAGTCAGCCAATACTCAACCAAAGCCTTCATCGTTCGCGTTAATTAATTTCTCACAAAAATCTTCAATAATTTTGTAAAGTGTATCTTTATTTATCGCTAGGTTTAATGATTGCTTAGCGAAGGAAATCGTTTATTATCGTCTTATACTCGGATATTCAGTGAGAAGAAATTCTATTTATTCCTTGCGTTTACTTATCTTTTATTTTAAAAGATAAGTAAACGCAAGCAAACCTTCAAAAATATTTTTCTACTTTCATTATTAAATGCAGTTTCGCCTATGTGGTTCACGGAGCAGACAAAATTGAAATAAAATATACTTTATTCTCAAATTTTTTTGTTTGTCTGTCTGTTCGTCGTGATTCAGAAGAGCAACATAACTGAGAAGAACACCCAAGAAACTCAGTCCGGCTTTTTTAACATGTCTTATAAACTAATACATTGATGTAAATTTGCTTACTTAAGGAGCAATTCATATTACTGCCGGGTGGTCTCGTCACTAAAGAAATCGTCCAGACAATATTATTTTTAAATTTATTTATCGATAAATTTGAAACCTCAAGTAGCAATGTATTAAACATAAGAATACTATTCCCCGCAAATGAATTAGATATTTTATGGAGGCTATATTTGGGGATAGCTAGGTTATCTTTATTTAGTAAGTTCAAATTATGCCTATCACTATTCTTGCTGAACTACACATATTTCTGTTCCAGTATTTCATTATATTTACACACAATTACTTAGTAAGTCTTTTACGCCCTATATGACGAGACTAAAGCAATACATAGAATCTTTTTTACCATAACGGTTCAGAGGCCAAAAACTCGACTAAAACAAGTACATGAAAGCTTTTAACAGTATTAAAATCCATGTTTAATTAAACACGCAATTGACTACATAAAAGTTGAATAGCCGAAATATTGTTTTACAAAGAGCAGTCTGAATTGTTATTTCAATTGTAACAGCCGCTGCTGGTTTCGTAAATATTTTTTTACAGCACACTGCGTAAATATTTCCCATTAAGTGAACACGCTAAATAATGACATCCTATTCTATACCTACGCTATTTTTTATTAATAACGCATTATCATCGTTTTGTTGTATTTAATAAGTAGATAATTTTAAAACTATTTTTTTTACATAATGATGAAATGCCGAGAATTTTCTTGGACATAGGCCTAAAAAAGAGAAAAGAGATCATCTCAGTATCGTAAAGCTTTTTAGATTATACTGTAATATATAACAAATTATAATATATAATTTATGCTATTGTGTGCGCACAGGTCTCTCATATAAGAATAAAGAGCCTAGAACCCTCTGTTGACATTTGTCGATAATATTCAACTTCCATACATCGCATTGGTACAACAAATAATCTTAAAAAAATTACAAATGATAGTTCTACTCGTAATTGATAACCAGGAACCCGCGATCTACAAACGAGTGCATTAACCACAGGACGAACAAGACAATTTCATGTTGTAACATGACATGACATGACAATAACATGGGGCTGGAATTTACCTACTATCAACTGTACATCATCTCAGTCTTCCCTCCTCTGCCAAAATCCAAGTTGCTCAGTGGTAGTGCCGGCAGATGTGACAGTAAAAATGCCAAACCTATGAATATTAACGTAGTGCCTTTTTATTGTTTACACGATCAGGGAACCACTTGCAAAAAAAAAAGAATTATTTTATTGTGTCATTTATTTATACTTGTACGCAAATATGTCATTTTATCGTCTTTCCGTCTTAAAAATCATCGATCAAGTATTTCAGAAGCACTTTTATCATTTTACTAATTACCAAGAAGTGCAAAACCTCATTTTAGAAGTTTTGAAACAAAGTTTAGGTAGTACTAAAAATGGGCCCCGCCATCAGCAAAGTACACACAAGGTAGCTCACTGGGTTTCTGGGACCTTAGAGCTTCCCTTTCAGTGTAAAACCTGGATTCCTTTTATACTATAAGCGTTGCTTTGCGAATGAATATTTCCAATTCATAATAATATTAAATGTGCCAGAGCGAATGCTTCATTACGTTTTCAGAACGAGATGTGACAGAATCGCGTGAAATATTACGGCAGACGTAAGCGAGTTGTCAATATCATTGTGCTTCGTTCACGTGTTATGTATAACTTCATTTACTTTTCGCTTCTCATAAGTACGCTCCAATATCGGCTTACGAATTTAGGAATTCGTTTGACGATCTCATAAGGTGTTGGTCGAGTTGTGTTATTCGAGTCCGGAATTTTAAGTGTCTAATTTTTAAGACTCGTTAAAAACTGTCTGTAGTTTACGCGAGTAGTACACATTTGAATAAAACACTTTAACGGTTTAAAACGCTATATATATTAGTTAAACTTATTTGAAAATTATTTATAACTACGTCGCGACGTTTCGCCTGCTGCAAAAGAGTCGTTAATGAAATGCTAATTTATGACTTTTGAATCATAAGTCCTTATTAGACTCAACGTGATTTTAAATCAATTCATAATTTTTCTAAAACATGTTACCGTGTGGAAAATTTCAATGTTAAGTTTGAAGATTCGTCCAGGTCACGAACCACTATCCATAGTTGAAAAAGTCGTGTAAATCCGAGTTACAGTTTCTGCCTGATTTCTGATCGTCCAAAACCTAAATAAGTCGACAGCGCACTTGTTTAGATGTTATATAGTTCGCTTGTCCTCTGTAATAAATAACAAAGATATTATAAGGCTAAAAGTATTCTGTTGTAAAAAAACAACAATAAAGTTTCTTTTCTCTCGGATTTTTTTATGGATTCGGACACATTTCTGTGTCTGTATTACTATGTAATTTTTTAACAGAGTTTTATGTCATGTCGAACCGGAACTGATTATTATATTCCTCGGGATTCAAACACAGAAACTAGGCTACGCCTTAACTTGGTGATACGGAGGCGGTCAACACAACTTCATATTAAAATAACACAGCTATTTAAATACTCTTGCGACTTCATACAACGTTAGATACAATGTTTGTTTTGAAAAGAGATTCGTGGTGAAAACGCCGCGAGCTTCAAACATATTCGTAAAGGTTTATTTTTTCAACACATTGTTGCTTTATAATAAAATTCAGTGGCAACACTTTGTTTTACGAGCGTCAGGGTGGGGGTAGTTTATTGTTTCTGGGTGTGATTCAATACGTCACAGATTACTAAGAACAGTAGGATTGTTCACACTCTTCCCCACTTAGTATTCAGCTACCTCCGTACTTACAGTTCTTGTAAAAATAACGAGTGAAACTATTAAACTATACCCTATGATTTATATTGGTTACAATGACTGTTAAACCTACCATTTAAATTCAATACATTAACGGTTAAAAACGCGAAATATATTATTTGAAACGTCGGGCCGTAGTTAAAAACATTGTTAATAAGTTTCACAAATATATTTCTTGTTTTAAACCGTTTTATTTGTTTTTTTTTCTATTTATGCTGAAAAAGTGGTGTCGACGAAGAAATCCAATTTTTTTTTAACTAGTTTGTCATAGCTTTCATTATATACTATATTTTGCTATAGTAATGTTGGTAACCCTAAATAGTTAAACTACTCCAATATAGAGCAGTCGGTACAGCTTCAGTATCACCGGTATCTGCTTCGTTCACTATTCTGTGACTACGTTCAAGTTATTGCGACGCTGATTATCGCTATACAGATTGTGTGTTTGCGAAAACTGGAGTGCTACAATCCTAATAAATCGTGAGCCAAGAGCGTTGTGTTTGTTTCAGACGGAGATAGATGGGTTGACCGGCTTCATAAAATTCGATGACGACGGCCGCCGTCGCAACTTTTCGCTGCGAGTCGTGGAAATGACCACAGGCACTAATGCAGAGACGGTACGTTACAAAGCCAGTGTAAAAATGTTTTTTTTTTTATACAGGAGGATAGACAAGCATGGGATCCACTTGCTGGTAGGTAAAACACCCCAGTCATAAAACATTTAGACTGCGCTGTCAACCTGTGTCGGAAATCCACAGACCGAAAAATTATTAAACTTGGCTTTAATAATTGCACTTAAATTCTCTATTTAAACAGGAGCAATTTCAAAAGTGTTATTATATTTATTTTGAAGTAACTACAGTCTGTACCATTGACATATATATTGTCAATTGTAATTTGTTTTAGTTTACACATAAAACATACAGATAAAATGTCATCTGTGTATTGTGCTATATTCAGGTGAATAATTTCAAATCTTGTTTATAGTACACACACATTTATCGACTTGAATAAAACACTTACGTTCTAACGGACTCGTCGGTATAATGGTAGTAATGTGCGGCTAATAAACAACAGGCCGTGGGTTCGATCCCCACCAGCTCCAACATGTTTCCAATTTATCATTTTCGTCTGTAAAAGCCGCGAGTTTAATCAAGTTTCGTTTTCGGTCTGCGGATATCGGAATATCCAAAGATATATAGATAGGCCGACAGCGCATCGTGTTTAGATGCTATAGGCTATATTAAGTGAACCGCATGCTTGTCTGTCCTCCTAAAAAAAAGGTATTGTGGTCGTAATTAAATAGTTTTTCACAGATCGGAACTTGGTACGATGATACAGGCCTGTCAACGCTTAATGAACTTGGCTGGGTGGGCTCTGTTGACAGGAATAAGACCTACATCATAACTAGCATCGTCGAAGAGCCATATATAATGCCGATTCTGGATTACAACTCAAATAAGAAGAAGCACAAAGGATTTTGTGTTGATCTAGCTGAATTGATTATGGACAAATTGAAGTTGAAATGTAAGAAAAACAAATTTTTATTTGTAGGCAACTAATTTTAAAAGTTTGAGGAGTTGAGTATCGCGTGGTAGTAAGATCGCATTTAAAAACCGTTGAGAATATTTATAGAAATTGTTGTCTTTTTATATAGACAAATGTAACTTCTATTGTCAAATATAAGACGCTGAGGGTAGACTAAACGCTAAGTAATTTTAAGAACTAATTACTCTATTTTCTCAGTAAGCGATTTTTGTAATCATTAAGTTTAAAAATAATGTAAGACGTTCTCAATGTTGTTTTAGTAACTACGTTTATCTATAAAAAATATACGTAAAATCTTTCTTTTTTTTGTCCTCTGCCTCACAGACTAAACGGGATTTCATTGCATTATTAAAAATCGATTTTAGATTGAAAAAAAAATACCACTCTGGCGAGTCTTGAACCTGCTGACGAATTGACCTACCGTGTCTTACATGTCATCGTCGAATTTGTTCAACCTATTGATAAATGCACCTCTTGCGCAATGTAAATAATATAAACATTTTAATTGCATACGCTAACATCACTTCATATTATTGAACTATATTTTTTAAAGGATTTTTTATTGTTACACAGATGAACTAAGAATTGTGAAGGATGGCAAATATGGTGGGGAAAATATTGATGCCGAAAGCGGTTGGGATGGTATCGTCGGGGAATTAATGCGAAGGGTGAGTAAAAACTTATTTAACGGTTCAATAAAATTTAGGTTTAAATTTCAAAGAATTTATTTTTTAAATTGGACATAAAGACAAAAAAAATACATTATTATACATAGTTTAATATTAAATATACTGACAGTCGCTTGCGAGTTTTAAATAAAAGTATGAGGGTAAAAGTATTTTAGGTGGAAAATGTAATCATGTTCAATTATAAGGATTTTAAAGTTAGACTTATATAATGTGCTTCTTACCACAATATTTTATATAAACATAAAAACTTTGTCCGTCTATTTCGGGAGGGGGCTATCGCTATCTCAATCGTAATTGAATAAAACATTTTTAACGGTTTAATATGCGAAAGATTTGAGTAACTTATTTACAATTTATTTTAACTACTGCCGACGTCTCAGTCCCCCCAAGACCATGGCAGCTGTGAATTATCCGAGAAATAGGTTAACTAATATACTTAGCGTTTCAAACCGTTAAAGGTGTTTTATTTAGACTAATACATCTTTCGTAGTGTTTGCCAATGTCTTCGTCTCAAAAGTGATATTCTCACCATGTTATTTATTTCAATCATAACTTAATATTCCGTTCAACCTAGTTCAATTTGAATAAAAACACATATAACGCCGTCTATAGTTGACGCGAGTAGTATTTAAATAAAATACTTTAACGTTTTAAACCGTTAAAGTGTTTTATTTAAACATATAATGCCTTTAAGCGCGAAATATATAAGTATTTTTTTTCTACTATCCAACATTAAGTATCATCGTCTTATCAGGGGTAGCCATAGATAATTGTAACTTAATTTTAATTCCTTTCATTTTATTACATAAATTCTAACTACGCTACTCATTAATAATTTTTTTAACGAACCAAAAGTAGGTATTTTATTTTTACTTCAATTCATTATAAGTTATACCATATATAAAATAACTCTAGTTGTCTTTTTGGTTTGTTGCTGTATTTCTTTTGTTTATTGAATGTTTTCTTCTGCAGGAAGCTGATCTATCTATATCATCTCTTAGTGTGACGGTGTACAGAGAACAAGTGATCGACTTCAGCAAAACATTCCTCTCCTTTGACACAGTACCTGAAGATGTGCCTATATCTACGGAGTCCATATTTAGCTTCCTTCTGCCGTTGTCTAAGGAAATTTGGGTAAGTGTAATTCAGGCGGCTAAGAGCCAGAGTGGCCTAACTGCATTTTTAAATGCCGAATGACATATTTATTATCTAAAAATATTAATCTATAAGAACACAGTGACCTAAAATTAACACAATTTTTACACTAATGACAGTACAAGTTCATTTAGGCCACTCTGCCGTATTGTTGGGCTACATGTTCCTGATTCTATACTATACTAGTAGTATGAAGCTGATGAATTTGTTTATTTGATCGTGCTAATCCCTCGAACTCCTAGTTAGAGCCAATTGAGCTACCGAGATGGTGGTTCAGGCAACATCAAGGAATGCTGGAGATGCCGGTTTAAGACGAGTCGTATTTTTATGTTCAATTTATTACCGAATTATATTTCAGATAGTGCCATCGTGTGCAATAACGTGTGAAAATTATTAAAGTTGTTAAAGTCTTTTTGTGTTTCCCCGTAACTCGAACCCGCTTTCGCATGAACCAAGTGAACTACTGAGATCTGTGAAACATATGAAAATATAACCACTAACGGGAAAATACATGTTATTAAATTATTATTTCGGTGAAAACGTGAATTTCACTTTCCCGCCGTAACGTTTGAGTGATTAATGACGTCATTATGTTTACGCCCTTCGTAAGTTCAAGGGGAGTATCTTGATAATATTATCTTCCATTTTATGAGTAAATCATATTGTGGCCACCTGGGTTACTGTTCAGAAATGTACGCAATCAATAATTTAGATTAATACCTCTAATTATAGCTACGTAAGTATAAACCCTACCAAAACATGAAATATGTAAAAAGGGAAAGCCAAGTTCAGCAATCCTTACTTGTTAATATTATAAATGCGATAGTAACTCTGTCTGTCTATCTGTCTGTCTGTCTGTTACTCTTTCACGCCAAAACTACTGAACGGATTTCAATGAAATTTGGTATACAGATGGCCTAGACCCTGAGAAAGGACATAGGCTACTTTTTATTGTGAATAGGGGATTGTAAGGGGTTAAAAGAGGGATGAAAGTTTGTATGGAAATTCATGGTTTTTGAAGCTAGAACATTGAAACTTTCTTCTTTGGCTTTTTGGGAATAGGAGTGGGAGTGGGAGTGGGCGTGGGCGTGAGAGTGACAGTGGGAGTGAGTGTAGGAATGAGAGTAGGAGTGGTGTGAAGTGAGAGTGTTGCGGCAAAGTAGCACTTACCATAGATTGGCTGCCTTAAATGCGGCTTTTCCATAAATTAATAAACTTAATTTCTTTGCTTTATAGGATAGATATAAGAATTGCTGTTATTAAGAACATGTGAAATTTTAAAGTGACTTTGACTTTGCCAGGTTTCATTAAATCAGTCATTGTATAAAAATTATTTATATTTGATAAAAACTGGTTTCATGTATTTTCTTTAAATAGGTTTAAAGTTGAAGAGAAATCAAAAGTGGCACCAAATGGTTCGTGTAAAGATACACTTAGCGCTGTTTAGCCAGTTCCTATGCTTGAACTCGGCTTACCACTCTGTCGCGTGTCTAGATTCATTTGGTATTTATTTCCAATTGGGACATCATTACGTAGAAACATTACACACCTTTTTTTCGCCTTTTTTAGATAATTTAAAGAGGCATAATTCTTTCATACATATTTTAAACAGCGTTTACAGCATACGCAACGGAAACCCACAAAGATGAATGATTAACTCTTTTTTTCACATTTCCCGCTGTTCCTTCGCTCCTGTTAAATCCTCCGATAAATGCTCCAACCGACACAAAAATAATTTTTCAATTCCCACCAGTAGTTCCTGAGATTATCGCGTTCAAACAAACAAACTTTCGGCTTTATATATTAGTATAGTTATAGACGTAAGGGATAATTTGAATGAGAAATTAAATGTTATTTTCTTTTCAGTTCTGTATACTGGGAAGCTTTTTCGCTGTCAGCATTTGCTTGTATATTGTGTCGAAGTACTGCCCGAATGAATATCAGCTGCGCGTGAGAACGAGCGGTAATAGACAAACATCTAGAATCAAAATACCACAGGTAAGTTCTTATTGAGGCGTACTTCTAAGATTAGAACAAAAAATTATTGAACTGTATTATTTATCAGAACTACCGAAGATTGTTAGTGTTTAGATTATTAAGAACTCCGTTGTCAAGTCAAGAAATGTAATTTTATATTGTTAAATTTAAAACCGTTTATTTAACGAAAAGGGATTTTTAAATGTCCATAAATGTATAGGTCAACAATTTTTCTTAATTGCGTAAACCTAATAAAAAAGTTCTCCCACTTATTAAGTTGTGAATCAAGGTCACAATTAATAAGACAAGTCAACAATTTTTTTTTTTGGGTTTGTTATTAAATTATTATTTTCTGAGTCTACAGCTAAACGTACCCAGAGGCTTCATATATTATAAATAAAGTTTGCTTTTGTACATTTTACAATGAAAATTATATACTTTACGATTTTGACATGTAGTTTGAAAGAGCAAAGGATTATTGGAGGCCGATTGTATTTTGATGTAAAATTGGGCCTTATGAAGCAATTTGTAATTTGTGTGTCTTCGTCAAGACTCACCAGCTTTTGAATACTTAAAAAGATTTTTCCCTAAATTGTTAGAGGCTAAAGTTAAAACTTGTAGTTTTGTCGGCCTACAAATTAAGAAAATTATGAGCAGCGAAGAATTTCCCAACTCGTTGAATGGCCACGATAAAACAGGCGTGGCTTAGCCTTAAAGCAGTGATCCGTGGCCTTCTTGGTAATAATAACGCTGGAAATTATAAAGAGCTCGTTTTTAATTTGCTTGATAGCTTCAAACTCATGGGTTGCAGAATGTCCCTTAAAGTACACATGCTACATGCTCACTTAGACCAGTTTAAAGATAGCTTGGGTGCATACTCAAAATAGCAAGGAGAACGCTTTCATCAAGATGTGATGAACTTTAAACAGCGTTATCAAGGAAAGTATAATGAGAACGTGATGGGTGACTACATTTGGAGTTTATTACGAGAAAGTGCGTACAAACACAGAAGAAAAGCAAAAAATAATCATTTTTAATGTATTTTTCTATTTCTTTTTATATATTTAAGAATGTATCTTTATAGTTAATTGTAAATAAAAGTAATTAACAGATAAATTTCATTTGTTTTTGTTGTTATAGTAGTATACTGAAGCGAAAAGTTGAGATTTTATTAAAATGTTGAATTTCGATCTGGTTACTACGAAAGCAAACTTAATTTGATAAAATTATTTTTTCTTTGTTTAATTAGACATAATTAATCTAAATCGGTAGGTACTACAGAACTCAGACTCAAAAATTGTGTTGACTTGTGTAATTAAAGCGGGAATCGTCTAAGAAACGTAAAAATTAATATTCTTTATATATATCGACGGAACGATACCATTTACCTAAAATTATAAATTAATGACTTAAATACTGTCTATAGTTTACGCGAGTAGTACACTTTAACGGTTAAAAACGCGATATATTAGTTAAACTTATTTGAAAATGATTTTTAACTTCGGCCCGACGTTTCGGATGCTTTGCAGCAGCCGTGGTCACGGGGAGACAGTAAAAATCATTTTCAAATAAGTTTAACTAATATATCGCGGTTTAAACCGTTAAAGTGTTTTATTAAATTAATGACTTAATTATAAGGAAAAAGGATCAATTGTTCTTTTTTTTTCAAAATATGTGTTCTTAAATATTGCAATTGTTACATTAATACGATAATTGAACACATGTCATTAAGATCTCACACGGCGGTCTTTCGATTATATTATATTTATAAATGAAGCAAATAACAAACGCAAAACATTTCCCTTTTGAACGCCTAAGGGGAATTCTCCGTTCTTAGCTGGTTAGCCACTAGGGGCATATAAAAACATAAGTCTACAGTCTTCATAGAAAAATTACTAGCAATATATAATAATTTGCGAAATTCGCAAGTTCATAGAAGATGCCACTTTGAGGTAGAGCGGCTTCCGTTTGAGACCACTCAAGACGCGAAGTTTTTACATTAGTTCATGTCGCAGTGAGATCAGAAAAACTGTCAATTTCAAAAATATCGCGAGAAGCTCGTTCTCGACCTACACATATTGGTAAAATATCCGAATGTCGGTCATGGGTTTCTACTCCGGTCAAATAACATTTTAATTAACAGAAAACAAATGTTGCATGTCAATTTGAAATGCCATTCATAGCTTGATGTGTGACGCTGTACATCCTTTTTTGTTTTTAAGTTCAATATACCCTCAGTTAATAATAAAAAACATTATTTGCTCCTTCGTTAAAATTAATTATTATTAATATGCCAGTAGAAGTAAACTATGCGAAGTGTAAAAAATAATATTGGTATCTTGTTGAAAAGTCGGATTTTCTATGAAACTATGTAAGCGATATCATACTGAACTGTGATGCACTTTTCACCTATTTTTATTACTTTTTCATAAAATAAAACTGGATTTTCCGCAGTTCACGCCTTTTTCATCGAAATAAAAGCACTAAAACTAATTTTCTAACGCTGCTAGTTGCCGTCGGCTTACATTTCGTAAACTATCGAAATTTTGGACTCGCAATTGAAACTTACGATTTGCATGATATTTGTAACCTATCGCTTTAATAAACTAGGGAATTCAGTACTAAAATATGTAAATAAATCATAAACGGTCTTTCTCTAATATTTATCATTACAGTATTGTTACTCATATAAACATTACTGATATTTTTAAGGTGGTGGTCGCAATTTATTGCTAATAATTACTGGGTCATGGATTCGATCCCCACCGGGTTAAATTTGTTATACATTGTCTAAAACATGTTGCACGTTCTCTGAAAAATCTGGATAACCAGCGTCCACAGATCTCTCGTCGTCTCGTCTCTTGTTTAGATGTTTTGTGGTGGGGCTATTTCACCAACTGAACCTCCTTCTAAAAGTACCTATTTATTAATACTTACCTTATCTTCTACCCGAACCTTGCTTTAGCATAAATCATAATATCATCAAAAACTATAATGAGCTATATCTAATTCTTTTGACATTTGAAAAATAATAAAAAACAATAATTATATAAATAATATTTGCTTGCATGTATTAGAATTTTTCTTTTTCAGGCGAAGTTGGAAAACACATTTTCACTATGGACGGCGATTTGGTTTGCGCTCGGTTCATTTATGCAACAATCAAGCGGTTATAGCCCCAGGTTAGAGAAAATATATTTTAAGTTTAAAAAACATGACAGTACAAAGTAAGCAACTGTCATCGTATTTCAAAATAATCTTGTCTATTCAGATTGAGAAATCTCAACGAAATTTCATTTACTTATAATTCTTTTAATAACGATTTGTAATAACTTTCATGACACAGTTATTTTTAGTTTCTCTTTTAATTTAGTTTAACTGTATTTGCGTTTCTACCACTAGAAAATTGATTGCTTAATATGGCACCATTTAGAAGCTAACTTCGGTCTTCGCTCAGAGGAAAGTAAAGACTGACTATGGGTAGTATTGTATCTATACAATATATAAAGCTGAATAGTTTGTTTGTTTATTTGAACGCGATAATTTTAGGAACTACTGAAATGAGAGCATTTATCGAGGAAGGCTATAGGCTGCAACAGAGCGGGAATGTGAAAAAAACGAGGCTAGTCATACATCTTTGTGGGTTTCCGTTAAGTAAGCTGTGACAATTGTTCAAACTACTCAAAAATATGTATGAAATCTTTAATCTCTTTGAATGATCTCAAAAATGTTCCTGACACTCTATGTCTATATTTTAAGATTAACTTACAAGGACAACGTGACGCGATCGACGAGGAGTTTTGCAAATACAAATTTGTTCAAAACAACTATTCTACGCGGACGAAGTCGGTGACACAGCTAGTGTAATATATATATATATATTTATATTATGTACACATTCCAGATCCCTATCTGGCAGGATAGTTAGCGGCGTGTGGTGGTTCGTGGCTTTGTTCGTCATTGTAATATATACAGCGAACTTGACCACACATCTCACTATTGCACAACTCAATCCACCATTGAATCCAATACATAGAATCTCTAAGTGCCCAGCGGTGAGTATTTTATACCCGTATTTAAGACATAAACCGTGACAAGAATGGTTGCTCTTATTAAGGAGAATATATTATGTTCTTAGTAATTAACAAAATACAATAATAATAACAAAAGAAAAAAATACTACAGTATTAAAAAAAGCACTACGGCCCGCTCTTACGGATGCTTTACAGCAGTCGTGGTCACGGGGAGACTGTAGTTATAATAATTTTCAAATAAGATTACCTAATATATATCGCGTTTTAAACAGTTAAATTTATTTAAATGTGTATTACTTGCTCAAACTACAATATTCTTAGTCGTTTTGGCAAAAGTTAGCTCTTAATCGGGAGAGTCAACTTTTTTTAGTTATTAAATTGTTTAGTTAATTATACGAAATGATAAAATTTTATCGCCGAGTGGCTAAAAGCTCCCAGCAAGATTCTCTCCCCTTTATCGGGAGATAATTAATTTTTATTACTTAACATAAAAACAATAATAAAGAACCTAAAATAAACCTAATTGTGACACTATAATCACACATTTACTCTCTCCGTGGCTCAAATATCAACGCGTTAAAATAAACCTACCCCAGAAGGCTTGGCTTCGATTCTCGAAGAAGCATAATGATGATGATCATGGAACTTACACCTTGATTGCAAGTACAAAAAGTGTAGGAAAACACTTATTTCGATTTTTGAATGACAGAAATCGGATATTCACTTTTTTTTCGCTTATAGCATTAAAATATTTTTAATCAAGTTTAACTACTATCTATTTGTATAATATTATATTTTATTATTATTAGTGCTCACGAAGTAATTTGGTTTATTATCAACTACAAGAATACATAACACGGATGGTATTCTCCGTTAACTAGCAAACATATAATCGATAAAAAACATGGATTTTTCCAGTTTCAGACCACAAAATTCCGCAGTCATTTGCGTTTTGTTTTTCCATGACAGGTGCGTTTTTGTTGTACCACGTACGTTACGTACAACGTTACTTGTATTCTCTGTGACGTTTCATGTCACGTCAAACGTTCTTTTGCATTTTTGATATTAATAAAAAATAAAAATATATTGTATATATAACAAAAATGGTCTAACTCGAAATCAAAGGGGTTTCTGAACCCTATCGATGTCCCCCTGCTTTGTTGATCTAATGGTAACTAGGTCGACTGTAGATTTCAAACCAAAGTCAAATTTGGAATTTTTCTGAGACCAAAATTCTAATAGCCCAGACTTGAGAAGTAAGTGTTGATATCCCCATACCCGTGCTGTAGGATCTCATGAAATGTCGGTTTAGATTATAATCACTAATGTAATCGTTAAAGTCCGCCAGCCTGCAGTGAAAAACAACGGATGCATTATTTAAGAATGTCCACGCGTTAGATTTAAAGCATAGTAATATTATTGAGAACTAGTGTATAACTAGCATATGAATAAATGAATATTCATTATACTTTAAACATTAGGAATACGGCGGGCCATAAATTGTAACACTAAATAGACCGTTTCTTTTGTATCCACTTTAGAAAGGTATAATTTATTAGCTGCGTTATTGAATAAGTTACGGTACTTTATGCGGTGACAAACGTAAGAAATCGTCACGCCATTAGTTTAAGTATTTGCTCTGAAACAATAAAATTTTTGTTTCCCATGAAGACGACGCCACGCTACACTCAATAGCTGCAACCTATTTCTCTCTCTTATGGCTAGAATAATGTACCATAAAAGAGGGCTCTGGGAGCTGGTCAAACCCGTTCGCTTCTAACATCGACACGGCTCGCATCGCGAGTACTTTGCACATAGACGCCGCTCCTCTCACGGTTCGCGTCGCAAGTGCTTTGCATTATTGATAGATAGTTACGCGGCCGTTTAGACTTTTTATTCCATACTTTGTGCGCACGATATAGGCGCGTAACAGTAGCGTGGCAATCGGTTGTCGTGGCATAGCGACATATTATTTAGCGGCAACGTATTGGCAGTTGTATTTCCAAATCTAACAAGACAACCGGTAATAGTATAGTTTTACAGTCCCGTACAAACATAAATCTTAACTAACATTACTCGTAATTTTTTATTTAACAAGAATACTGTATCTTGTTAATTAAAAAAATTGCGGGTAGTTATACAAAATCGAATTTTGTCTTACTTTAACAGCCAGTCTTATGACGTCTATGTGAACGCAGTTGATCGAAAAAAAATACAAAGATGGTGTATTATGATTTTATTTTATTTTATCTTTGGTTACATTAGTTTGTTTTGTGATCATATATTGATTACATTTGTTTACTAATTGTGTAGACTTTATCTATGTAAAAAAAGATAGATAGATATAAAAGATAGATAATACTCGACTATAATGAACTTTAACTAACTCGGCTTTCTATTATTTATATAACTAAACTTCCTTTTTCAAAACCTCTTCCACCATTAAAGCCATTAAACTCTGGATCTCTCTCCCCACTGATATCAGAAAGGCCCAATCTCATTTCGAGCTTTCAATTGCCTTTCTTCATTACTCCCCCTTAGCACCACCTACTCATAGTTCTCCTTTTGCTTTTCCCTTCACTTAATTTTGAAGAAGATTGCCTGAAAGAGATCGCTGAGTTTAGTATTCAGAACACAAATCCTGTGGTGTTTATAAAATAAATATATACGTAGATTCACTACTGTCTGCTATTGCATAATATTTCGTGCGATATTGTACAATTCTCCCATGCCTTGCTGTCCCATGGACCTGCATCTATAGAACATTTGACTGGAATTAATCAATTCCCACTTCACAGCTGCAAGCCGATACCACTACTAGTCTAGGTATTTGCTTAATGGAAGTGCAGCTTAAGATCAGTTTGATTGGTTCATTCTCAATGAGCTTACAAAAACGGGTCTTGTCCAAATTATTGGACATTAATCCAAATTAGATTTGGAAAAGAAAAAGGTCTACTAAATATTTATAAGGGGCATCTGTATAGGAATGATTAAACGAAAAAAATTGAAAAGATTAAAACGCAAAATATATGTTATGTAATGTTAGTTGTTGGTTTTTCGACGAAATATCCCTCTTGTCGAATTTGGTCGAAGTTAATGCATTACTAGCAATTGATTGTGATAGTTTGTAACAACATAATAATATTTATCTTGTAAAAAAAAAACAATGTCTTTAAATAAATCTTTATGAACTAAATTCGTAATACAAGGATTTAAGACGTTAGGTGTACACCTAATAAGGACCTTCACTATCGAAAATACATGATATAGTAAAATTCTTCTAAATACTTAAGCGAATTAATTGTTTTTCAGGAAACCAACAAGCCATGTGAAATGCTGATCTCCGTTATGGAGACGGGTCTAAAAGATTTCGCGGTTGCGTTTCCCAAAGGATCACCACTACGGTCAGTTAAGCTAAATAGGAGTAAAATATATATGGTCATTGCGAATTGTATTATTTTTATGAGAACGCAACGCGAATGAAATTTTTCAGTGCTGTTTTTTCGATGCGGTTTCAAATTTTCATTGTTGCCCAATGGATTTTTGTGTGAATTGTTCTGTTTTTTAGGGAAGGTGTTAATTTGGCGTTGCAGAAATTGAGGAACGAGGGAGCGCTGTATCGTCTCATACGCACTTGGTTTATGCCTTCGTCTTGCACCAATAAGGTAATAAGGTCTTAGTTATTGAAAAATTAACTTTGATTACAAATGATTGATGCGTTTAACGAGCTCCGTCGTGTGTGTGTTCATCAGTTTTTAAATAAAAAACTTTTAACGGTTTAACGCTAACTGTTTTTGTCTCCCCCGTGATTATATGGTTGCTGCAAAGCATCCGAAGGACCTTAAAATAAATTGAAAATAAGTTGACTAATACACTTCGCGTTTTGAACCGTTAAATGTTTTTCTCAAATTCAAATTATCGTAATCTATAGAAAAGATGTTATCAGTTTTTTTTATATACTTTTTTCAATTGGTATAACTGCAACGATATATTATAATTATAGATTAATTATTTTATTAACAAATAAATATCATCAATATTAATAATAGAGATGCGTTGTTTTTTAAAGGAGTATAAAAATACTACTGAACTACAAACTACTTAAGTAACTTAAATGTAACCACATACTTACGTCTTTATAATAAAAACAATAAGTTTAATATACAATATTAAAGACAAATATTAACGCGGGTAAAAGGTGAATTATTATTTTCCTTTGAATTGAAACGTTAAATAATTTTAAAGATTTCATTTACAGTGATATCGATAAACGCTTTGTTTACCCGACTGTAGAACAATTTTAATACATATGCTTGTCTTGCCCGTACATACGCATCTCCAAATATATTCCGCAACTAACCATAACTTTGCATTCTGTTACTGACGTTAATATTCCTTGCCTATGGCCCGAAGTTGCTTCACTTCTCTAGTAATAAACTATGAAATTATATGGCCCAGTTGGAATATATGACTTCCGCTTAACATTATGAATCATCCAAAGAATACAGAACAAAACAGAAGGAGCCTTCTTCAGTCATACGCGGCACGCTGTGTTCAAACTTCACATCCTAGTTTCCCCACCCTTATAACATGTTTCTTTGTACAACTGCAAATATTGAAAATTTTGTACTGACTCATTCATTTGTTACTACTTAAGTTGGAGTAGATGTAACGCATCACACTCAAATTGGGTTTCTGATTTATTTAGTATTCTGTGCCTATATGACAATTTTTACAGAACCACGGCAAAGAGATGACATTGAGTCAGATCGCTGGGTTGTTCTACATACTGGTCGGTGGGCTCGTGTTGGGACTGATTATTGGGTTTATTGAGTACATGGTGTATCGTCATAAAAGTCAGGAAGGATCAGGTGATGTATCACCTCCCGGGACCCCAATACGAACTCCAACCAGTCCTATGATGCGGAAGAGCCAACGGACGCTGAGTGAACGCGACGCTATTGATTGGAATGCTGTGAATTTTACTGGGGTAAGTTCTTGGTATCTTTATCGTATCAGGGTGGTTGTTATCGCACTTGATCACAATTCAACAGTGACCACAACTGTGCCAAAGCATCCGAAACATCGGGTAGTAGTTAAAAATAAGTACCTTAATATAGTTCACGTTTTAATTGGTTGTAAGCGTCATATATAAACATAAATCAATCGATGCTCACTTTATACTTTTAACGAACTGAAAAAAGTGAGTCAACATTCAATTTTGTCATAATATTACCAGATAATTCGATAAAAAGATTCTCGCGAAGGTCACGAAACTGTGTTTATTTTGTAAACAGTATTTTATGAAGCTTGTTTAAAACAGTAATTACTAAGTTTTCTGGCGGCTCGGTGCGCGGAAACTTTTCAAGCAAACTTTAAATATCAATAGAGCTAAGATGGGCGAACCTTCATCCAGTTTGCTCAAAAAAGTATGAAAGGTCAACTGTTATTTCAGTATAAATTAAGAGCTATTGTTTATCTAGCGACTGGGCACTTGTGAATTAAAATTGAGGGTTTTCTACTTTGAAACATAATTTTAACGAAAGGTTATTTTGTTTCTTAGTTTGTATGCGTTTATATTACAAAAATACATAAATATGCTCATAGAAATTCGACTAGTTTTTTTTTTATTAGTTACATTAAAAAGTTATGCAAATAACATAAAAAAATAAAAGTATTAAAAACATTCTCTTTAACTCAACTTATGCGGGTTTTAGTGACACAAAGCTAGTGTCTACAACGCCAGTAGGTACATTTTCAAGCTATCCATTTTTGAACATAAAAATATAGTCTATAGTTTACGCTAGTAGTACATATTTAAATAAAACACTTTAACGGTTTAAAACGCGATATATTAGTTAAACTTATTTGACAATGATTTTTAACTTCGGCCCGACGTTTCAAATAAGTTTAACTAATATATCGCGTTTTAAACCGTTAAAGTGTTTTATTTAAATAAAAATATCATCAAAATTATTGGATTGGAGATTTCATGCAATGCATTGAAGCAGAAGCAACTAAGCTGATTTCGTTGTACTTACTCTCTTATATGTATACTTTTTCTCACAGTACGACTCGCCAAGGGTCCAACAACGACAAGAGGAGACAGCAATGCAGGGGACCTTTGGACAAGTCTGATGCTCAGCGCGGGAGTCAGGTCCAGCGCGTCGTATCATTCAGCGCCGCCTATCGGACTCCATAGAACTGTATCAATTGTAAGGCGACCAACTGGCACTATACGGCATTGAACGTACAAGTAGAAACTATAAATCAAAAAAGTCCTGTATTCTAAATTCAATTTTAAATATTAAAGTTATGTGTTCCACCAAAACATGCCAGCGCAACAGACATACAATTTTTATTTGAACATAAATATAATTAATTAATCTATATAAAATGATCAATAAATCATATATCCACACAGCTACTCACTGTACGTTCATTGCGCCTAGTACTCACCTAAAAGCGAGCATGTAATGTAATCCGCCGCTGCACAATTTGTTCCCCGCGCGAAGACAATAAAACATTAGTAGGCGGTTTATTTACATTACTTTAAGTGAGTATTTTAGAAGCCCGGCTTAAAAGTGTCTACCAAGTAGTATTGTAGACGTTAATACGTACACCCGGTGTCACAAAATTCAGTTTAGATCCTAACCGTAGTGTTAGAACAATTGTATGTGTACCCCCAGAATTTATTTAAAGGCTGCAGCTGAATGATCAGCAATAATTTTTACATCGAATTTTAATTTTACCATACTTGTAAATGTTCACTTCAATAGGAGTCCCTTAAGTGTACCTTGTCTATCGATTAAAAATGGCGTCTTTTAAATTCATATTTCAACCTTGTGCTTCTTCAATGGCTGTTCATACATTCTAATAAAAAATAATATTCCTACTGGTGAAACTGACATTCTTGGAAGTTTTGATATTTATAAATTAAAAAATAGGTGTTTTGTGTATAATTCGGATCTCATCTTGTTGATGAGTATCAGGGTCTTTTATGATAAAGTAGAGTTATCCTTCAATTAGGTAATGTATATTGTACTTCTGATAGATTTAATGTACCGTTAAAGTAAGTTCACATACGATTCCAGGAGATTCTGTCGCTTACGCTGGTAAAACAATCTAAGGCCCATAACATAGGGCGTTTTTAAAATGCGCAGAAGACGCGCCTATTAAGATTGCTCCAAGTGCTAAGCCTATACGGTTGCGTTCGGATCTCATGTGTACGCGAGTCACTTACAAGCGCGTCTTAAAAACGCCATGTGCTGTTTTTACTAAAAAATAACTATAATGCTGACTATCAATCAGATTTTTAAACATAATAACACATTGGTCGTTTTTGTGTAAAAGTTATGTTACGCGTTGCGAACATGCGAACGAGTTGACCGGTGTGACTTCACGTATGTGTACTTGCCTTTTCGACAACAATCTCATCAAAAAGACCGTTATTTTGTAGTTGGAGCTCTTAATATTTTAACTATAATTTAGCACAGACATACAAAAAATACTTGTGAATTAGTGCACAGACTAAGAGTAACGATGTGGCTTGTGTGTTGTAATAAGTAAAATACTGTTTATGCATACTATTTTAGTTAATACGTTCCACCATAACTGGTACAGTACCCAAAGCTTGGGTCAATTAAAAAAAAATGTTTTGTTTAAACTTACTTCAAAGTCTTGTAACTAAAGTTGAAATATTACTCTAGACCACTTATAACGGTCCTTTTGTATGGACCACTAGCTAGTTTAATATAATAAGATATTGATGTGAGGATTCTTACTGGAATTACAGCTTCCATGTTTCTTTGTCACGTAGTTATAGACCAAACGCCCACTAGCGCCAGACTTTCCCCAGTTAATCATTTAAGCTCAATGATGCTCCCAGCACAGCCTTAACATAGATAGGAACCGACTAAATGCAAACAACAACAACAAACGACAGAAAATACAGTCACAATTTGAGAAAATTAAAATTTCTTGAGGCAGACAGACAACAAGTTATGATTAATAGAGGTCTTTTTATCTTTTTGGGTAAAGGAACCCTTTATACGAAACGAACCATACCATTTTTGGACCATAACAAAAGGTGGTGTTACTCGAAAACATATATTCAAATAAAACAATGTTAACGGTTTAAAACGTGAAATAATACTTAAGATACGAGCTTTTTATTATTGGTGAATGTCTGATCGTGGGTCTTGGTTAATTATTTTAATTTCGCCAATACCTTTAGCTATTTCGTGTATGAACATCCTAAGTAATATTGTGATGTAAAATTATTTCTAGTTTAATAAGGCATATATACACGTAATGAGAATGTCGTAGTAAACTTAAATTCTATTAATTGTCTTCTCTGTGATTTATATATTTTATTTCGTTGTATAGGTACCTTTTGTATATAGTTAGTGTACACTTAAGCCTAATATTTTATACTATAATTATTAATTATGTAATGCCAAAGGCAACTAGTTAATGAATCATATCAAAATTATAATATAGAGGGGGGTGGGGGGGGAGTGTATTAATTTTGGGAGTCTTCCGTCCCTCGAAATTTTCCGTTTAAAATTTAGAAAATGCGCCAAATTAAATGGTCTTTCAAGGTAACGAGCGCGCGGTTCGTTCTTATTCGTTTTCGATTCGAAACGAAGAAGGGATGAGAATCAATTGTTATTTTCTTTTATTTAAATTATATTAGAAGTGCCAAATTGTTGATAAGTAGGGGTTAGTTGAAGGCTTATATGGATGTACGGTAATGTCCGTCCGTAATGGCATAGAGAAATGTCCGGGTATAACATAGTGCTTGTTTGATTGTATTAAGTACTAATTCTTATACATTTAGTGTTTGTTTCCTTATTTTTTGTTGACAAGAGGTGAAACTCATTTTTAAAACCACTAACACAAATGGGTCTGAACTGGTACATGGTGGCATAATATAAAGTAAAAATCGATTTTAGATAGAATTATATACAGTAACTCAATTGGTTAGAGCACGGAACGCCGTTTCAAGTCCGCCCTTGTCGTAATTTTATTTTAATATAACATTATTTTTTTCAAATGAAACTGTACTCAATTGTAGAATTTTTCACACAATATAAAAACTCAAAAATGAACTCAGTTATTTATTCGCTTGATGCTCCACGTAGGGAAAGGGGATTTTACACAAAACTAGTGTTACCCTCTTCCCCACGTGAGGCATGAAGCGAATAAATAACTGAGTTCGTTTCTCTGACTTTTTTTAAGCAAGTCAAGTAGTTGACTTCTGTGCCCTGCTAAACCAAAAAAATCTATTGTTTCCCTGAAATTTAAACCCAAGACCTCTCGCGCTTAACGCAACGCGCTAGTTTAACCATTTCGCTACAGCGGCGGTCTAGAAAGCCGGAAAAGACTAGTTTTAGGCTATTTATTTTTATCTTTTGGCAAACGTGATTAACTTGATCACAGTGGGCTACAAATCGGTGGTTTAAACTAAACAACGTAAAATTTTAAAGCTTGTGTGAGCAAGGCCAGGGTGTTTTAAATGCAATTTTAATTTTTTCATGGACAAGGAAAAATTTCGATACTTAATTAAGATTAAGTTAATATTAAGCTAATTAAAATAACTTTAAATTCGGTTAAATTTAAAAGCCTACAGGTTAAAATCGTGAATATATTAGGAAATGTTTATAAACTATAAATTGTACTTATTAGCAAATGAATATTTAATATAAATGTTAAAGTCAAACGATTATTACATACTTATTTATTTAAAAATACATTTATTTATTTATTTCGATTAACAAATTAATTATCAGTTATTATAGGCTTACATAACGTCAGTAGCTTTAGTTTCAGTTTATTTATAATCTTTTTTTTCTAATTCTTAATGATTTTAGTTAAAAACTGCAAACATTACAAATCCATTTGATTTTACTGATAAGCAATTAATAATTTATTTTTACTCAAAATACCATCATTATTATTATTACAAGCTGATGGAAAATTACCGAACACCCAAACCTTGAATACCCTGGCCTTAAATGCATCTCGTTCCCTCAACCCCACACCGTTTGATCTATAGAATCACCCTGTATAAACGCTTACGATCGGGGATTTTATGGCCACCTCAATTTTAAAGCGATCTACTAAACTTTATTATTTTAGGCACATATCCAATTCCAATTGAATTTGTACCGTTAGTACGATTTACAAGTCAAGAACTCGGTTATTTTATACTAGAGAATGCCCGATACTTTGTCTGTAACACAGAAATAACAAACCAACTTTATTTTTACAGAATGTCAGGCTTTGCAACATCAATGCGTTAAGAAAGGCCCTGGTTTCAAAACGCAACAGTAACTTGTTTCGGTGTGGTAGGAGAGTCCGTTACTTGCCTCTGAGCAAACAGACGCAAAAATGTGGTCACCCTATGATCCACAGGAACGTGGTTCACATTTTTCATTTTAAAGAATTTTCCAATTGAAAGTTAAATGTAACCTATGCAGCTATGAATTATTCAATATGGAATTTTTTTGAAGTAAAGAAATAACATTACTTCTTTCGTTTGGGAAATATTAAACTATTTTTTTACGTTTGAAGCTGTCATAATAAACAAGCTTATTAATATTTAAAAAAAATTGTGTGTGCTTACATAAATGCAGTTGAAAAACAAACACTATGTTATATTTGGAATCGCCTTGTGTAAGTGTAATTAAATAATACCAGACCATTAACCTCCGGCATTAAGTTTCGAATGTAAATTAAAAATGGAATTTAAGAGTGTAATGGAACCTTCGAACGTAACTTAAAAATTGAACTTTACAAATTGAATTTAAACATGAGATCGTCTTTTGTTCTATATACATGATCTGCATTTACTACAGTTTTGTTTTGTTTCTTGTCTCTACAGTCTATCAATGTGTCCTTCTAATTTCCACTTCTATAATATGTGTTAAACGCAAATAGATGTATGAATCCATGTATGGAAATAATAAGTGTTGAGAATAATATGAAAATAAAGGATGTGAACGAAGTCTTTCTTTTATTTTATACGGCTTTGTTCCTTTGTCTTTAAGAATACGAGCGGCAATGACCTTTTGCTGAAGCGCCGTACTTGACAAGTAAGGTTAGCAAATTCACATGTAAAATGTTCTACAATT